TATGCCGCGCACCACGGCGGTGACTGCTCCCTCCCCCCCCCTCTTTCAGAATTACGGGCACACACTACCAATTCTAACTAGTACCTCCAGGGCCAAACACGATCCTCTCCGCCCTTCTCACTGAAATCCTCGTCGTTAGCTCAACTGTTCCATACGCGACTTTCGTTCTAAAAAGCTGTTCGCAATCGGAAATGAAATCAGATAGAGGTAACGCTACGGTTTATTAAAATAACAGACCAGCCAGTTCCAGTCACCACCAACTAACACCTTCACGTGGGCGACCTTTTTTGCTTTTTGGTGGGAAGAGCGCGCTTTTCCCGCGACCTCACCTCACAACCGCGGGTTTTGTGTAGTAAATGAACAAAAACATAGGCAACACAAAGTAATTTCAATGGTCTATGAGATACTAATTATTCTGATACCAAAAACATCAAATATATAATAAAATACCAAAGCAAAAAAAATTACGATAAACGGCTGGTAGGCCCATAATAATGGGCCTACCAGCCGTTTGTCGTAATTACCAACTGGATGTGTCAATAATAATGCGATAAATGAATCTTGTCAACACTACTAATGTCGAAAAAGTCTTTCATCTTCATTTCTTTACTTATCAAATTGAAGAGCAAGAAGGACTTCTGGTGCACCGCCTAAACGCCTCAATCACATTGTACTTCTTCATTGGTTTATTCGAGTGAAGGAGAATATATCGCCGGTAAATAAACAACAGCTGTACATGGCCAGACTCATACGTTCGCACACTAAGATGAAAAGTAGTAGGTAAAGTACCCTATACTTCGATGAGGCTGACCTCCAACACGTGCACTGAAAACGATGACTAGGTGCTATGTAAGCGGGTGGGCACGTCGTGTAGAAGGAACTCCGGGAAAAAATAAGCTTTCCCACCCTCAGTAAAAGGATGAATTCCGGGGCGAGTAAGCATATTATTTGAGAGTACCGACAGGGAGGCCTGTCACGCGAAAAGGCAGAGACGCAGACAATCAGCGGACGAGTTGCACCGCGTATTGTAGCAATTTAGCGTCAAGTTACAGGATGTGCTACAGTACGTCTCACATTGTACGATAAGTACTGCGCTCGTCCGCCGGCCTCATATACTCGAAAACAGGGTGAATATCGCTTGAGGATTCCTCAACGGCACGTCGAGGATTCTCTGCCCGATCAGAGACGATCTCTCGCGCGGACATTCACACTCGCCATGCCGTGCCGTCTGTGCCTCCGCGCGGATGTTCACTCTCGGCACTACTCTCGCATGGTAGAGAGCTATGGTCGAGGATTTCCTCGACCGTTATTCACCCTGCTTCGAAAATCACGTTCCCTCGCCACTCTTAACACCAATGACTATATGTGATCAACTGAACAGACTACAAAAACGTGTGACTAAAGCATGACGTCGTACGGACGATGATAATCGATAAATCCGTGCACAAATCAATAAGACAATGTTTGTGAAACTATCTAGAACTGGGCTGCGAACGAGACCGATTAGATCGATAACAACGGAGATCAACGACATGTAATATAATGTCAAATGCTTTACGACACCACAGAGACAAAGAGTTGATGAGAAAAGCACGAGACAACGACGTCAAATAGAAAAAAAAACCACCAATCAAATGAAATTTTTAACAATAGGAAAACAATCAGTGTTAAAATATTAAAGTTAAAGCAACAAAAATTCCACCAATAAAACATACACAACTGGAAGATGTCGCAATCTCGTGGTCCTTCTCGCGGATCACAGCAGAGTGCAGACGGTCAGAGTCATGCATAAACTCTAACCTTGCATGTCATGTCAGCAATATTTCTCTTCGTCACTTGCACAACATCAACAGTCAAGGAATGATAAGGAAATTAGATCGCAGCCCAGTAAGGTGAAGAAATTGGATGACATAATCGATAATTCTATGAGGGTAGCAAAAAAGAGAATTTGAAACCGAGGAGAAAAAACAGATTCCTAGCAGTGAAATGATGAATTCAAAAACATTCAAAAACAGTCAAGTGTTAAACACTTTCTCAGCTCATTTTGGAACAAAAATATAAAAAAAAGTGCTAAGCAGTACAGTAAAACAGAGATACTAAATAAATCTTGCTCTTGTCAAAAGTATAATAGAAGTTGCTAAATTGAACAAGCTCGTATATAATCACAGCCCACCAGCATATGTAAACTCATGCTTAAGACTGCCAATGGCGTCGGCCACGAAGGCTAGAAGAACAACCTTTGAATTTCTTCGCGGGGGTCGTATTTGCCTCCATGAAAAGGGGCTCATTTTGGATTTAGGACAGGTAAAATTTGCAGTTTTCGCAATCACATTTCCCCCTCGTTCCGAGTATTCCGATAGAGGGTTACGAAAGGGGATTGCGTACTGCCGCGACCCCACCCTGCTTGTCAATAAGACCAGCTATGGCATTCTCCAGCATGAACTTCTGGTGGTCTGTATAGCGCTGTTTTAGGGCAGTAGTGTTCTTATGCTGGCTTAAGTCTCTATTCCACAGCAAGTAAGGAAAAAAGAGATTCTTCTAAAACCTATGAGTAATTTGCCAATTATCTGTAAACAAGCGAATGCCTCCATACTAAGCGAAAAGAACCCGCCTTTTCAACAGACGTGGAGATAGTGCGTATGATGGAGAGACGGAGACGGTTAGAAACAACAGAAATGCTCGAAGAATCTCCTCCTCGTCTCCCTCAACACCCCACGACGTCAAGATGGCCGGCAACTATTCGCCGAAAGTAGTACTTCTGAGAGCTGCATGCGGAAAGTTTGACTAAGTACAGAAGAGATTATTAACCATAAGTGATAGGAATGGTATGGAAGAAAGGAGAAAGGAGATCTGTTCAACACAAACTATCATGGATTATAGCACTTGCAACAAGAATCTCTTATATTATCATGCTGATGACATCAGCACAGACAGCACCGAGCTACATAAGTAAGATGAGATCTGCACTTCATGCAGCACTTTGGTCTTCATGAAACGTGTCTCATGGTAAAGGCGTTCCAATCGCTTATAGCCGGAAACGAGAGGACCACATTTACCAAGCCACACGACGGTGGTGATTAAGGTAATAGCTAAGGCTTCTAGCGCCCCTAATCACGGAACACGTTTCATGGTAAAGAACATTACAGCGTAAAATCAACAACTGCATTCACAATTGATATTGGAATGAGGTACGATAGTGGCAAGATAAGGCTAGGCGTTCGGGAGAGTTCTTATTTTCTATATCGTTTGATGTCATCAAAATGAACCTGCTTCATGTGATCGGTTCTTACTCACCGTCAAAGAATCAGCACGAGGAGATTCCGGTGCAAACACCTCTGACTGTTGTGAGGATTCCTCACTTTCTTCTGGATCCGCGTTCAGCATACCAAGGAGTTTGTCCTTCATTTGGAAGCAATTCTCATACGTCACCACGTCGTCAGGCTGGAATTCAACTGTATTATTCGTTAACGTTAGCACAAATTGTTAGGTTCATTATTAGTGCTCTCAACCTTTACACTGTGATTGTGAAAGATGACCCTCGAATGGCGGCAATAAGGGGTGAGTAGTGCGCCGAGTAGGATTACTTATCTCTCGCAGAAGTAGCCATTCAATGTTATGTTTTTTACAGCTGAAATGATCACTCACCATTGCCCATTTCAGAATAATGGTTAATTCCGACCGGAATTCGTCCTCGCACAACTTTCGCATTTGCTCTTTGTCGCTTCGACGAAGCATTCGCAGTTCATCTGCTCACGGCAAACCTACAACAAGATTTGATTACATTTCATATTATTGGATATTTACACAATTTCATACCTTTAACACATGTTCTTCCCATAAGTTCCTGCCAAACTGCTCCATGTCTTGTTCAAGCAGCTCATCCTCACCCATTCGTCGAAATCGATCAGCGTATGACACCCCCTGAAACAGTAAACCATAAGAACTATCTATAAGATTTCCTACAGAAATGCAGCGCAAACAATTATCCCACTGCATATCCGTAATAACTTCGCGCATTCCACTCAGAGAGAAATTTCAATTTACTCACATTTTTCCATTCCAAAAAAGCCAAGCACTTCTCGGAAAAAAATTGGCTTCGCTGACCTCTAAACAGGAATTCGGTAAGTCCTAGATAAGGATGGAACACGCAGAAGTGTAGGGTGATCCTTGCATAAAGGGCGGTCCACAGTGTGATAGAGTGGATATTATGCGATCACCATTCCGACAGTGCTAATGACGGCATTAATGGCGTGGTGTGGTTCGCTAGGACAGGAAGCTACTTTTTCACGTTTCCCAGCGCGAACAGCGAAAAATGTTTTGCGCTGCGGAACGCGAAAAAGCGGCTTTCTGTCCTAGCGAACCACCCCGTTGATGGTGTTGGATTCCTTTGATGTTCCACGTGGAGTGCATATATCCAATTAATGAATCAAGACCCACAAAAGCATTCCACTTGATCTATTCCTTTTTAAAATGCGCGCGATGCAGTTGGCTTCTATGTACTTAAAGCAACAGTCCCAGCAGGGTTTTTACCTTCGACACTAATGGTGTGGAACGATGCGCTAGCCCTAGTCAAGAACATAAGAAGTGTGACTGAACAAAAAACTCACCTTGGAAAGCCGCTAGAAAGGGAGCTGAACGGCTTCGAAGTGGGCGTGGTTGCTCAGTCGGCTGCAATCCCTCGGCCGATTCCAACCACGCCCACTTCGAAGCCGTTCAGCTCCCTTTCTAGCGGCTTTCCAAGGTGAGTTTTTTGTTCAGTCACACTTCTTATGTTCTTGACTAGGGCTAGCGCATCGTTCCACACCATTAGTGTCGAAGGTAAAAACCCTGCTGGGACTGTTGCTTTCAAATAAATGACACATGAATGCGAGCAGTGCTCGTATGCCCTCTTCCCCCAACCCCGTTATCAGAGGTGGAGAAGAAATCCCTATAAATTATTTTGCGACCCTATCTCGGCTAAATGGACGGTTAATGATAGGTTTGACCACCAGCATTATGCTTATGGTAACCGGTGCCAGTTGCCACAATAAACCTTGTCCGCTATTTAAGAGACCTGTGATAAGAAAAGAATAGCAGCGATACAGAACCATATAAATTAGTCGGTAAAGTGGTTTATCAGTGTGTTCCAGCTACCGTGGAGATATTTTTGGCAAATGAACGGCACTAACCTGCTTTAAGAAGAAATTCAGTAATTTGCGCGTTTGGCCGACAGCTCTATCGGCTCGATCCTTTTCTCGATCAAACTGAAAAACATTTCAAATTACTCAACTGTTCTTGGTGAAATCAATAAGAAAGACCGGTTTTTATGGTTGATGATATCAATAAGAAAAATGAGCTCACTAAGAGAGGAAAATTCTCAAAGTGTGATCAGAAAAAATCTCTAGTACCGCTTCTTTGTCGATGGAACCTTTCCCGACAGTTCCATTTGAAAGTGGCGCTGCAGGTGGTGTTGACACGGAGGTTGCCGGTTTCGTGAAAGAAGTAGATGGTTTTGCAGGGGTAGCAGTAGATGGTTGTGCAGTAGACGAAGATGCAGCCTGTCTTACATCTGAAAAAGTACGATTGCAATATGATTCCAGCAATAGTTTTTGGTGCGCTCAAGTGATAAGTCCAAAACTGTTACATTTATCCATCTCGGAACGAAAAATGCTGAGGGATTAGGGGGAGGACAAGGATGAAAAGATGGCAGATCTTCGATACCATTCAACCAACTAACGTCTGGTCTCGTTATCACAGCTACGCTTGCCATCTCGTTAATGTACTGTAGTACAAAAGGGAACAAGATGAATCGCATACCTCTAGTCACCGTTGGAGGAGGAGCTTTCACTTCCGCTACGACGGCTTTTTTCTCATTCAGCTTCTCATTTTCCTCATACTGACGCCTTAAGTCTGCTTTCGTTTTCGGTTTTTTCGGCTGAAAACAGAACACAACATGAAAACATTCCTAAGCTGAACTTACGGTAGACAAATTCGAAAATCACTTCAGAAAAGCTTCTTGACTTTTTGCTCAGTATCAATACAAAATGCGCCCGTCAGAAATAGTAGCCGGTATAGATATGATTGAAATGAAAATGAGCAACGGAAACAATGAAGGGAAACTTCACCCCAAAACGTAAATTATTATAAAACGAATATTCAGAAAATACCGTAAAATAGGACAAAAGCCCAGAAATAGAAAATAATCCAATTTTGCGTCGAATACCAACCAAATCCGGTACAGTAATTGGTTCTTCCTCATCGCTTTCGTCCTCGCTTGAAATGACGCGACGATTCTTGGAAGTGCTAATAGCAGCTGCGGCACGTTTTGTGGGTGGCCGACCAACAGCACTAACACGTTCGGACGACTTCAAACAAATAATAATCACTGCGAGAAACAAAAGCCGAAAATCACTGGAGATGCTCAACTAAACCAACCTTGTTGGGAGGAATGACCGCCTTAGTTGCCACCTTCCGCGGAGGCCTTTCTGGGCTGGATTCCGACTCACTAGTTAATTCTTCTCTACGTTGCGCGACACGAGATGAACGCTTCAGCGGCCTTGATGGAACCGGAGAAGGTTCTTTCCGACGTTGGACCTTGAAACTCATAGATTACAGTAACCATCTCAGATGTTAAACGAAAAAATAAACGAAAACATCGCGACCATTCATAAACAGGAAAAGTTACAAATGAAAAATAAATAATCACCTCCTTGATTTTCTGCGTTGGTGCCGGCGTGGATACTGAAGTGACTGGCCGCCGAGCTAAACCACTACCGTTCGCGGCGGCGGCTGATGGAGTGCTACGATTAGGAATGTCGGGTTTGCGATCCATACCTCGGCCCTGAAATCGCATTTACTTTGAACTACACCGTCAAAGTTAATCAAAAAAATAAGCCAGGAAAAAACAAAGCTTAAAGAAAGTTACTGACAGCTGATGATCCATAACTCTTCGCTGGCGGATCTGGTGACTTTTGCCGTACTAACTTGCCCTCTTTCAACTGAAAGGAAGATACTCATAATCAAGCATTGATTTATCGTACTTGAACACTTCGAATTGCTCGATTAGCGAATGCGTGTTCAAAAGGCGCACAAAAGGTTACAAGCATTCACAGTTGTTTTGGAAAGCGGCCTCAGACTACAGGCTTACATAAAGTTACGAAGCTTCGATGTAACGAGACTAGCGGTGCTGTACATGTATCCGACATCACAAATGGCTCAAACCTTGGGTATTTCTTCTGGCCTTGAACACCCTCGAAACATACTGTTGGGATGGTCGTCACAGCACCATTTTTCTGGGATTCCATTGATTTCATACGGGGCATGATACTCAACATGACGCCATTTCAAGCATTTGTCTGAAGAATAAAAATTTTTTGAGGCAAAAATGGTTTGCAAGCAATTTGAAGATGAGAATTGTTGGAGTCGTAACAAAAGTGACCATAGTGCTAGGCATGTCAGGTTAGTGAAGGACTAGTTCTTATGATGCTAACTTGGACGCAGCAAAACATTCTTACCGCATTGTATAGTATGCCCAATCCTGAGGAAGCGCTTCTTTCGATGTTCAGCCAGATTTGTGCATTCCGAACTCCAATCCGAATTTTCGTAACCAAAATTCTTCCTGCAAAAAAAATGGTAAAGGTGTAGCCAGTGACAAACGGCTATCGCCGCCAGTAATCGGGTAAGAACGGAAGTGTAAATGTAAAACAAAAAAGTCGGTAACAGTTCAAAATGAATGCACTAACCAGAACGACTTTATGCCACTGGGGCCGTCGCTACCGGCCAGATTAATATCCTTCCAGTATTGCTCCATGTGATCATTCATTGCGCGGAGCAGAGACAGGTACTCTCTGAAAGAAAGAAAAAATAAAGCTGGTATTCAAAGACCAACCAACCTGAACTAGCTGAAAACTGAAAAATTCGAAGCGGACATTGGTCCCTATATTTAAAGACGGCAAATTCGAGAAGACTAATCTAGAAAGTGTTTCCGAGACCGCAATGCAACCGTCAGGTTCAATGTCGTATGCTTTCTTGGGAAAAGAAGCGTGTACTCTTCAGCATCCTTCTTGTAACCCCGCTTGATATAAAATGTAGCATTGCTGCCATTTTTCTAGAAATTTCGCGGCTGACAATTTACTAAGCGACTTTGTTTCAACGTGATCATATTTTAGCCAGAAAAATTGGAGCTATGGGCACATAGATTAGTTGGTGGATTCTGGACTTTCAAGAAGAAGATCACATCGAGTCCTTGGATAGACAGACCGTTCCACCTCGAAACACCATAACGGCTCAATAGCACCACTAGCAGGAACCACAGTTGATCACAAGGAGACCACAGCTTCAAGAGGCTCAATCCCCGAGCAATATGGAAGTAAGAAAAGGCCGCACTGGGATTGTGACGGAAAGATGTAAGAGAGGAGCAAGAGCGTATTGAGAACAATGTTTCGTCGAGGAATTGGATGTAAACGCACTAAGAAAACCTTGCTGGACATCTTCGATCTTATGGTACGAATGAGTAATCCAATGTCCAAACGCAGCTTAAAAGCACTCTGTAAGGGCTGCGAGAAATGTTTACAGAGAAAACGTGAAAGATGCCACCTTGGAGAACACTCTGAAGAGTTAGACTGAGGAAAGAGAATCAGGGACAACTAGAAACTGAGAACACAAATGAGGATACCAGCCAAAAGTGCAAAGCGGTAGAAGCTAGAGAACGCTGCTAGCGGAACATACAACGCAACATGGGTAACAGCGAAAAGAACGTGAAGATATAAGGCAAAATCAATGGAGCGCATGCTCACCTTTTATTTTCAAAACTCTGCTTGTT